CACCTCAACGAGTGGACGAAATCTGGGATGAAACTTGGATCGTTCGACTACATGATCCTTGCTGTCGAGGGTTACCACAGCAGCGGATCTGCCTCCATGACTGTGGGGGAGGCGTAGTAGTGGTGTTTCCTAGGATCGGTCTGCATACCGGAAAGCAGCGTTGCACCGTGCCTCAATTTGACGACGGGATTTACCAAATTCGAGAGACCCTATAGGTATCCGCCTGTTTCCAATGCAACGAGCAAAACCCACCTGATGCCTCCCATGGAGACTCATTAAACAGGCTGATTTCTCCTTTGTACTGATACATCGCACAGATGATTGACTCCACCCATTTCACATATAAATTGGCATATTCCTCATGTACATAGACAACTTCCTCCTCAGAGGATTCAATACGCCCCCCATCTGAGACGTCTTTGCTCTTCGTAGGCATTTCATATCCCCCGTGTCCGCTGTGTAATCATGGATGAGTCATTAGATGACTAATCTCACGTATATCACTAAGTTAACTTAGGTTAGTTAACTTAGTTTCCGACAGGATTTTTGAATGAATTCGACTAGGCCAATGATAGTCCTGGTAGTCACAGATGTAATCATCTAAGCTAGCGCGAAAAACTGAGCTATGGGTATTCTGTTTCTATATGCTTAAAATACTCAAATACCGAGTAGAACTTTGCTACATGGGATCAGTCGGCACTTGTGATGTCTGTAGTTTTATCTTTCGTTGGTATCACGAGCGGACTGAATCGCGCGTTCGATTTTGCGGATTGTGTTGTTTGCCAATTCCAAGACCTCTGGTCTAGAAGTCTCAGCTAAGCAGTATCTTGCTCTTAATGAATTCCATGGCTTGCGTGCCGTATTTTCCAACATATCCTTGGTGGGTTTGCTGATCATTTCCCTTGCAACAATACGGGTCAGGAGAATCGCAGTAAGACTGGATCTTGTCACCACCAGGGCAGCTGAAACCCTTGGGACGAGCGGCAAACTGGTAAAATTTAGCCTGAGATGCGGTGCCCGTAGATATCGGGATAACTTACGCCACCAGTTTTGCAGGTGCCGACATTGTATGGAAGACCAGAAACATTGTGTGGATCTCCCATCAAGATCGCTGCCTTGACAGCAGCCAAGGCCGGACCGGAGAGCGGCGTTCCAGCACCTCCACACAGAGCATTGTCCATAATTTGGCCCCCCTTGAACTAGTAAGTATTCTTTTGAATCTCAAATCCGTCACAATCATGTCCTCACCTGAGAGTATCCAACTAGAATGATCTGGGTATTGGGGCACTTCTTGTTGTAATTCGTAATAGCCTTCACCACCTCCGCCGTTCCTTGGGATGCCGAACTGTCATAGCTGATACCGCCGCAGCTTGCCTGGCCACCGCATGCCGGGTAAACAATGGCTTCTGCACCTGATCCGGGGAAAGCAGACTTGATCTGGTTGACGAGAGCTCCAGCAGATCCATAGCCTTGAGAGACAGTGGTTTCACGGGCGCCAAAGGTGTAAACTTTTGGGCAGCCTTGTCGTTTACTGAGTTCCGCTCCGTTCGCGAATGTAAGACCTCCGAAGAAAA